GTTCGCCTATTAAATTCCAAGTACTTTGGTTATTTTCAAAGCCACACACAGGATGTCTGTATTAACAAAACCCCATCATGTTTGTGAATGTAGAAGGATTATTATGACTGTAGGAACGTTGGGCTTTGGCCCAGTTTTTATTCTTATTAGTGAGTCTTTTAAAAAGTCAGAATTAGTGCAGAATTAATGCCTTAAAGGGGAATCCTTAAAGTAAACATGAAATCCTTACCAAAATCTACACTTGGGATTTTATTAAGATTCTAGAGTTTTAAAACAGGCCATGGTACTGTTAGTGAAGATTCCTTCACTAACATGTCGGCACCGTTCATAGAGCATCACATGAACGTTTAGGCCACGAGAACTCCATTTGGGAACGTTACCAAACATTGCTGTGCAATTTGGGATTACCAGAGTCAGTATTTGGGGACCTGAGGCACCATCATTCCTTACTCTGCTTCCTATACCTGGACACCATGAAAGTTGAGTGAAGCACTACATCAGTGAGCATAAGCTAAGTGTTGTATGGAATTGCAAAGAACGGAAGAATAAAGTAAGTCACCTGAGAGTAAGCAAATCTATCTTTCTTCAAGGACTAGGAAGCCATATATTCAAAACCTAAATCAACTTCAAACTTCGAACAATAAAAGATATCAAACATTTTACGCTGTACACAGTAAACTAGCAGGATGTGAAATACTGGAAGTTTAAAAAACACTGCCAATCCAAAAGGCCAAACAAGGAAAGCCTTGGCCTGGGCTCCAACCAAATCAAGCTATCATATGGGTCCAATTCCACCTGTCCTCACCTCGGGTAAAGGGTACTTCATTCAAGGCCAGACATCCAAAGGCGGCAGATGGACCAGAAATGAGAATGCCACATGGGAGGTAGAGGAAAGGTGCTCAGGACCTGGGCCTCGACTACTCCACTACTAGACCTGATGGTCCTCAGCATTTCCCCAGAATATTTATTCTCCCTTCTATTCACATAGAGGAGCACAGAAGCTAACCCTTCTAGTGCTTACCATGTGCCAAGAACTATTCTAGGTGCTTGACATGTAATGAAGTCAGGTAATTTTCACAATATCCCTGTAAAGTAGATTCTACCATGAGCCCCACTTTAGAGCTGAGGAAACTGAGGCACAGAGCAGTTAAACCAGAGTCCTACAGTTACACAGTAAGTGGATTCATAACTGGGCATCTCTGAATCCCTCTATTCTTTTTTTTAAATATATATACTTTTTAATTTATTTATTTGACAGAGAGATAGAGAGCACAAGTAGGCAGAGCGGCCAGCAAAGGGAAAGGGAGAAGCAGGCTCTCTGCTGAGCAGGGAGTCCGATGCGGGGCTCGATCCCAGGACCCTGGGATCATGACCTGAGCTGAAGGCAACCGCTTAACCGACTGAGCCCCCCAGGTGCCCCTGAATCCCTCTATTCTGTCTGCAGGATGATGAGACTCTGTATTTCAGAGTTTCCCATGCTGCTTTTTCAGACAGTACAGCTTTTGGTAACAAAATGACCCTCTCTTCAAATGAAAAGATTTCATTGACCAATTAACAAAATTCTCACCCCTTCAACTATTCTTTCAATGGGTCAGATACTGTTTCTATTTTCTCTCTTATTCTTCATAACAAGCAGAACAATACTGGTAATTATAATTAACAGTAAAAACATCAATATAGTGTTCTTTGGTTTTCAAAGAACTTTTGCATACTTTTTCCATTTAGAAGAATAAGGTCATTAAGTGATGTAGAAAAGCCTTACAGTTTGGCTAGAAAGAGCTCTCACAAAGTCACAGATTGCCCTACTGTCACGCCTCATTTTCTACCTTGAGCAGTGGATGACCCAGTTCCTCCTGTTACACCTTAACCTTGGCCAGCTGTTTGTCCCTGTCTTTCAGTGGAGCTCTTAGGCTTGCTGTAAATATCAACAGCATTCACAAACATTGTCCCTAAGTTTAATGCCCCGGCCTCCCTCCACCCCATCCTTCTCCCCACACACCTTTGTAGGGGTCTGGTGGGAGGTGCTTCAGCTCTGGTCTCCTTGTAAAGGGGCACACTGGACGCTTAGTTGAATGATTATCAGACTCCTGCAAAAGTGATCTTGAAGTTAAAGGAGCCTCTGGAGAGTCCAAGTCAAGGAAATTCTCTGAGGATACAAATGCTTTTAAAAACAGGGGTTCTGGACAGTCCATTTTCTCAACCTTCTTCTGCCAAGCAGGACTACTTTGAAACCTCCTCCCAGGGTGACCTGACCTTTTTCTTAAGAACCTCCAGAGAGTCTTTTTTTTTTTTTTAAAGATTTTATTTATTTATTTGAGAGAGAGAATGAGAGATAGAGAGCACGAGAGGGAAGAGGGTCAGAGGGAGAAGCAGACTCCCTGACGAGCAGGGAGCCCGATGCGGGACTCGATCCCAGGACTCCAGGATCATGACCTGAGCCGAAGGCAGTCGCTTAAACAACTGAGCCACCCAGGCGCCCCCTCCAGAGAGTCTTGATCTTGCTTGGGTGGTTTTCTGTCCTCACCGTACTAGCAAATTCACTGGCAACAAAGGAAATACAAGGGCACAGTCTACCTGCTGTTCTTCAGCCTGGTCTTCCTTATTCACCTGAACATGTTTTAGAAAAATTGTTCAGTCTTATTGCTAGCTACCTTCTCACCCATAAGAGCCCCTGGGGCAGGGGGTTCAAGCAAATCAAGAGATCCTATGACCTACAGCTCTTGTGCCAAGAATACAAACATCTGCTATGGCTTTTTCTACTGTAAAAGTGATTGCTACTCAATTATAAAAAATTGACTATCAGAGAAAAGGAAAAATACGAAACCACCCTTACTCACTAAAAGATAACCACCACTGTTACCTTGATGTTTCCCATCTTTCCTTAACAAAGAGTTGGGGATCTTGTTCCACCTAGTTGTATCTTTCTTCACATATCACAAGAAGTTTCCAAGTTTTTTTTTTTAAAGATTTTATTTATTTATTTGAGAGAGAGAGAATGAGAGAGAGCACGAGAGGGAAGAGGGTCAGAGGGAGAAGCAGACTCCCTGACGAGCAGGGAGCCCGATGCGGGACTCGATCCTAGGACTCCAAGATCATGACCTGAGCCGAAGGCAGTCACTTAACCTACTGAGCCACCCAGGCGCCCAAGAAGTTTCCAAGTTTTAAAACTATCTTCATAAATATACTTTTCCCACTCAGCACAGCTTACTTAAGCATGTCCTATTATTGAAAACTTGTTTGGTTTTTCACTCTGATAAGCAATGCTGCAATAAACATCTTTTTCATAAAGCAGCACTGCATCACAGTTTTGGAGTCATACACTATTTCTGTGGATGCATGACTTGGGGCAAGTTGCTTGACCTCTGCAAGTAAGCCTTAGTTTGCTCATTTGCAAAGGAGTAATGTGCCTATCTCACTGCATCATTGTGAGATCAATGATCATGAAGTGCACAGTGCCTCATGTAAAATAATCATAATCACTCAATATAATGGTGGCTGCTATTGGAATTAGACTTTGCCATTCTTGATACATATTGCCAAAATGCTATCCAAATGGGTCATATGCTTATTGATACCCAGCAGCAATGTATGAAATTCAAATTTATTTGAAAAAGTGTGAGAGGAAAGAAATTGAATCACTGAGACAGCAGGTGGTCCTTGGTTGTCAGAATTTATCTTAGTTCCTTCATTAGGCCTGATAAGGAAGCATCTTGACACAAAAAACTTAATACAACTGACTAAGCATATGTAGTCCACTAAACCATTCCCCAACACTAGCATCTACCACCATCTTCATCTGTTTCTCTGTGATTTGTCATACTGTACCAATATTGTATGCAACCAAATGGATTGCCAAATCAAATCATACATCTTATAATATATTAAGTATGTTAAAGGAGAACTGCTTTTACCATGACCAAGACCATTATCAAATGAGGACTCATCTAACTTGGACCAGACTAAAGAAAATTGGCAAGAATGATTAGGCGTTTCAGAAAATACTCTGAATGTGAAAGAGAAGGCTCTTAGAGAATTTAATGAGGCTAATATTTTAGCAAAAAATTTAAGACATTCATGTTCATGTTGTAAAAGACAATCATATATGACTGTCAAACATCATAACCCATTTTGTGAAAATAATATACTTTTGATTCTGCTTTAGGAATTTTAAGTAGAACCCCAAACTTGCTTTTCACACTGTAGTTGTTGTCCAAGGGAAGATCCCAATCAGATGCTCTGTCTGCACACAGCAGAGGCTCGTGAAACCTTGCATAGGCCACAGGTCCTACACAGCTCCTTCCGCTGAAGCATTTTAGAATTCAGGGGTGGGAATGACATTATTGAATGGTTCTAATTTATACTTAAAATTATAACCTTAACACTTTTACTTTGTATTTTTGTCAATTGTCTTAATGTCTAGTTTTTGTTTTCTAATACACATATTAACACAAGAGCACATGTATGTATCCTACACAGACCCATATTGGGACTACATACATAACTTCTTTAAAAAGGACAGGATGAAAAATCAGTAACATTCAGAGAGCAGTGGTTGGAGAGGGCTGTTTACCAATCCTGGCAAACGAGGGGGTGAATCCTCTTTTTATCGGGTACCTTGTGAAGTCTGATAGCCAATCTGTTAAGAGTGCTGTTCGCTTTACACACCATAAAGTCATGGGCACTCATTTCTTGCTCTATTGCATCCCTGCCAAGTGAGGCCCTGAGGGGACTTCTAAGTATCTTGCTAATCTACAAAGGCAATATAAAGGTGACTATTCTACTTGCAAGAATGTTATATCCTTCAGGAAATTCAGATGTTGTCCAACCAGTGAGGGAAGTTGATTAAAGTGGACTCCCTGAGCTTCAGGAAGCAGTAAAACACTAACTAAAAAATACCTTAAAAGTCTAGAAAGAATCCTAACAGGTAAGTAAATTCAGTAGTTATTCAGAATAAGGTTTAGAATTCAAACACTCCAACAATAATCACAATAGACATTTATTTAAAGTAATATATTTGCAGCTCAGATAGTTCTAAATTGTACACTTCAGGTTTATTCAACTTCTTAAAAATATTTGAGGGCAGCTGCAACCACAGAGTTCAACTCCATCATTATTTCTTTGCCCATTCTTCTCTCTCTTTTCTTTCCCGAATAACTTCTTTCAGATATGGTTCAAGGTAGAATTTATCCTAAAGAATGAATAAAAAAATATATATATATTATATGCAGCCATCACATACTGATATATCCCAAACACTCAAGAGGTCTTCGACAAAAGAAATTCATCAAAATTAATTCTTATTTCCAACTTAAGAAAATATATTTTCAAGCAGACTAAGAACTGTCTGCTTTTCTAAAATGTAAAAACCCACAAAGATATTGTAATACAAGTTGCTTTGATAGGCTGAAAGGGGAAAGTCTGCCAGAGAAGAATTATTAGAGTAGAAGCTTTTGCCTACTTTTTTTTTTTTTTTTTAAGATTTCATTTATTTATTTGACAGAGAGAGAGACAGCAAGAGAGAGAACACAAGCAGGGGGAGTGGGAGAGGTAGAAGCAGGCTTCTGGCCAAGCAGGGAGCCCGATCTGGGTCTTGATCCCAGAACCCTGGGATCAGGATCCGAGCTGAAGGCAGATGCTTAATGACTGAGCCACCCAGGTGCCCCTTTTGCCTAATTTCAATGCAGTTTAAGGGGTGAGGGTTTACTTCAGAGTCCTTCCTGGAAGCCAGAGGGCCACTCTATGGGCTGATCACACGGATACCAACATTCTTCCATCTGAGCAGGAAACATTGTAGAGGGAGAACAACGATCCATAATACAGAGGATCTGGACTCTAGCCCAGGATCTCTATATTAGAGACTTGCTTAGTGATTCTGGAACAGTCCATCCCCTCTAAGTCACAAAGTAATTATCTCTAAAATGGAGTTAACATTTGCTCTAATAACCTCACTGGACTGTCATGAGGGTATTTATTTGACACAACCTTAAGAACTCTAAAGCACTATACAAATGAGTGTTTCTGTTTCTAATGCTTAATGCTTAGTGGCCAATATTGTCAAATACATAAAAGCTGAGCTACCTCCTCATATTTTGTCCACTGCTCTTTAGGCAAGATCTGATGCCTCATGGTCAGGTCCAGTGCTCTCTTAATGCGAAACATCCTGTCGTTATAAAGGTTCTCAGGAAGCCTTCTTATGGCCTCTTTCACATCATCATTCTCATATATTGTATCATCTCTCATTAACCCTGTGACAGAAAACAAGACAGTCAGATTGAATACACATCTCAAAAATCAGACATTTTTAAAAAATGAGTGAAACATGTTTATGACATACCTTAAGATTCAGGTGAAATATGTATGCATTTCATACATAATAATGGGTTATTTCTTTTTTTAAATTTAAAATCAATTAATTAACATACAGTGTATTATTAGCTTCAGAGGTAGAGTTTAGCGACTCATGAGTTGTATATAACATCCAGTGCTCATTACATCAAGTCCCCTCCTTAATGTCCATCACCCAGTTACCCATCCCCCCAACCACCTCCCCTCCAGCAACCCTCAGTTTGTTTCCTACAGTTGTCTTCTGTGATTTGTCTCCCTCTCTGATTTTGTCTTATTTTATTTTTTTCCTTTCCTTCATAATGGGTTATTTCTTAAATGGTACTGTAGAAACAATTAGTCTTTTAAAAACCTCTGTCACAAAATTCACATTTTATCTAAAATAATTTTTAAAATATCTAAAATATCTACTTTGTTTTTAAACACACCTCAATAAATCACACCTCTATTTTCTTATACTTTGCATCTGAGATCAAGGTATTAAAGAACCTTAAGATGACAGTGTACTAAGGAACCAGTAATATTTTTTTAAATATGATTTTTATTTATTTATTTGACAGATAAAGAGAGAGCACAAGTAGGCAGAGCAGCAGGTAGAGGGAGAGGGAGAAGCAGACTCCCCGCTGAGCAGGGAACCCGGATGTGAGGCTCGATCCCAGGACCCTGAGATCATGACCCAAGCTGAAGGCAGCCGCTTAACCAACTGAGCCACCCAGGCGCCCCCAAGGAACCAGTAACATTCAATGACACTTCTGTCAAGCTTCAATTAAAAAAAGATGAAGTTCATGGCAAATTATAAAGTTCTAAAAAAGTTCAGGTATCCAGTGATTTGAACATTTGACAATTTTAACATTTGAGAAATCTCTTACTTTCAAAGTTCATATAACTTAAATTTTCAAATGCCAAATGGAGGAGTTGGGAGAGGGAGCGTGCATTAAGGAAAATGTACTGCTACCGTATTTCAAGAACGTAACTTATTTCCACCTCAAACATCTGAGATGACTGATCTATTACTCTCTTCTCAAAATAATAAAGAGGAAATGATCGAACAATAAAATGTGACCTAATTTTACAATTTTCTAATGTACACAGGTACAATTAGTTAAGCTGTTTTTGGGAATCATAACAACTCTTGCAAAAGCTAGTAAAACTCAGGCAGTAGGTTGGTTGTCCAAAATGGAACATCCATAGATGTTGACACACACACACACAAACACACAGTCTAAATCATATATAAACTATATATATATTATGATTAGTATAGAATCATATATAATATATATAGCATAGAATCATATATATAGTCTAATATCATAACTTTAAATGATTTCAATATTTGGATTTTACTGTAATTTACTTATAAACAGTGGTTCAAGAACATCTTTGTAGCTAAATCTTTGGGCAAATTATTTAAATTATTATCTAAATTATTTCATTAGGATGAATTCCTAGAAGTGAGATTGTGAGTCACATGGCATATACATGTTTAAGACCTATGATATGAACTATATATAAAGCAAAAAAAAAAAAAGAAAACCAAGGAAAAAAATAGATACTCACCCAGTTTATTGAACCCTGCAGCATTGTAGTACCATTTTCGAATACCCTCCAGCCACCGGCTTGATGCTGCAACTGATATTGTCACACTATTAGTTGCTACAATTCACTTATTATACTATATGAACACCTGGAGAGGCAAGCAACCAGTACTCTTATAGTTACCTTGTTAGAGAATGCAAACATAGGAAGGAATTTCCTTTTGAAAGTATATATTCTGTATACTGTAGATAAAAACTGCTTATTTTATCTATGAGCAAAAGTGATTACAGGTCAAAAAAAATCTGCAGCAAGTCATGGGAAAAAAGGGTAAACTCAAACACATGATGTACAAGAGAGTAGTTATTAGCACTCCAGCCTCTTCACGTCAAGTAACCCATCTTTTATGTACCCCTGCTACCATCAGAACTGAAGGGGTAGGGTGTGGGACTGAAACTCGGAACTCCTCCATCTTCTGCAGTTTCAGAAATAAATTACAGGAAATAAATGTAAACTTTTCTTATCAAGGAAGTTGGAGTTATATGGAAAGAAGGTAAGACTTCAGGATAGGTTGGCAAGTCTCAATGACCTTCATCTTCCAAAATCTTTATTCTACATTACCTTTACTTCACTTGCCTAGCCTCTTTAAAAATATATGTATTTCTGGGAGGATTTTTGATACCATTAGCCAGTCTCTTAATAGTAATACGGATTAGCAGAAGCAGCCCATTTTCCTCCTCCCAAGTAGCTAACTTTCCAACAAGGAAATGGATGAGAAGAAATAGGTAACATTAAAGCTCTTTGGGGAGCAGGACTGAGCCTGATGGGATAACCCAGTAGGGGCTAAGGGCAACATGATAGTGCCTGATGTTTGTAGGAGAGATGTGTTAAGAAGGGGAGATAGAGAAAATTTAAATTTTCTTTTAAAATCTTGTCTGGGGCTAGCCTCTCACCAAGGGATGAAAGCAAACTCTTTTATTCCAACCCCTCCTCATCCCTACTCCTTAGCATATCACAGACTACACAGCTTTGGTAAATCTCCTTGAAAATTAAGCACCATGTAGAAGATTGCTTCTAGAAAAACAAGTACCAAAGAGTCAACAATCTACAAACACACTTGTAGAAAACAAATGATCTGTATACATATTTGCCACTGACGGTGATGATTAATATTCATTGAACACTTGTGTGCTAGGCACTATCGTATCTGCTTTACCCACATTGGCTCGGTTTATTTACAACACGCCTGTCCTTGCAGAAGAATAAGGTTTACAGAACTTATCCTATCCAAGATCAGAGTCAGCCAGTGATAGGGTCGAGACCAGGTCTATCTTGTTCTCAAACACAAGACAGAGCAGAGTGCCTTCTATATCTGTCAAATTAATGAAACAACGAATTCCTAAATGTTTCCCCCAAAAAGTTCAATGTCATTTAGATTAACGGATTTTTCAGGCAATCTGATGTTTCACCATTGCTGAGGGCGAGGAGAGAGGGGCCAATATTATTTAAAGGCTACTCCAATTTATACCTCCAGAGGGCAGAGACCGGCAAAAAAGGTGCGCGGGAGGGAAAATCCTTGGTGTTCATGATCTGTTTTAAATATTCCGGTAATTTCTGTATTCTACTGCATAGTGAGTATGTTTTAGTGCCTACAGTAAATACAAACTTCTCCAAATCTACAGACCGAGCTGACGTTCCAGACAAGCCAAAGTTAATCTGAAGCTTCGCTGCAACACTGGCTCTGCGGCCCTGAATTCCGTTTGAGAAGGGCGAGGGGTGGAAGAAGTTTGCAGACCTATTTCCTCCGGTCACTCTGCCTCGGTTACCTAATCAGCGTAAAAGGGAAACTAATACCGCCCTCGTCACACTGGCAGGAGAATTTATCGCACACGACAGGGCTAGACTCACGGCAAGCACTCCGTTCATTCTGGTCGAAAGTCACGCACTAATTATCTCCTAGTGTCCTTGAACACTTCTAAGGCCGAGGGGAAGGCCTGCCGAGCACGGGCAGTTGGAACGGCAGGGCTATCGGAGCCACCGCGGGCACCTTCACCGACAGCAGATCCACCTTCAACCCTTCGGGTGAGCCCGGCCGGCCTGGGACAGTAAGACGGTGGGGGGAAAGCCCTTCTTTAGGCTGGAGCGGAGCCTCCACCTTCCCTGACGTCGCACACCTAACCACTTAGAACAGAGGAAGCGGAGCAATTTACTGCAAGAATAAAAGGCTGAGTGTGGCAATTCCTGTCAGGGAGGTCAGCTGGGACTTACCGGCAGGCCTGCTCGCCATTTTGACCCGAGGCTGCAGCGTTGCCTGCTGGGTAAGTCCTGGAGAACGCTCTGGGCCTTTGCGCAGGCGCCTCCCGTCGCGTCGCCTGGCGAGGAAGGACGCCCGCGCAAGCGCAGTTTCTGGCAGCCGACTTGGGGTCCCTGCGGCTGGCGTTTTTTCCGCGTGGATCATGCCAATGTAGTGGGGCGGGCATTTTGCGTGCCCCGTTCCATGAACCATTTCGTGGGACCCGATGGGAAGAACATTAGGCAAGGAATAAGGGGCTTTAGCCTGGGTTCTGTGATGGACGAGCTGTGAGAATTTAGGGAGTATTTATTGCTACCTTTGTGCCAAGCAACGCACTAAGCCTTTTACCTGCGTATTATTTTAATTCTCATTTAGTTCTAAATCCGTGAGGTAAGTACTATGATTATGCCCATTGTAGAGAAGGAAACAGGGGCTCAGAAAAGTTGGATAAATTGTCCTAGACTACACAGCTAGGAAGAATCCAGATTTATCTTCTAGTATCAGAGGATCCGGATAAAACTTTGGGACTCCTTAATTCTAGGGCCATATACCACACTACTAATCCAGGAGACACTAACCCTCTCTGGCCTTCCGTTTCTCCAGCTTAAGGTCTACACCAAGCCATTTTCGTGGTAGGTTAGGTCAGCACACACAAAAAATTTAATACTAATCTAAGATACAGAGCAGAATTTGTGTGTGATTTTAAGATAAAAGTATACTCTTAAGGTCTCAGCCCTAACATGTATAAGTCTAAGGCATTAAAATCTAGAGACAGAAACGATTATAGTGTGACTGACTCATTCCGTTCCTAGTGACCTCCAACCACCATTACTGTCATGGTCAGCTCAAATTTCCATAACAAAACACACAGACTGGATAGTTTAAAAAACAAATGTATTTCTCACAGTTCTGGAGGCTAGAAGCCCAAGATCAAGGTGCAAGAATGGTCATTTTCAGGTGAAAGCTTTTCCTGTGGGTTTTAGAGGACTGCCTTATTGTGTCCTCACAGGGCAGGCTCTTTTGTATCTTACAAGGACACTATTCGCATTATGAAGGCCCTATCTCTAAATGCCATCACACTGGGGGTTAGTGTTTCAACATGACTTCTGGGGAGACACAGTTCAATCCATAACAAGAACCCACGAATATCTACTTTTGTTTACTTCAGGCTTAAGCGGAGAACTGGGACCATATAGAGAAATCCATCTCATTGTAAATTCAGAAGGTTAGATTCAGTGGTCCTAGTCACATTCCAGTTCTAAACTTTTGTTGCCTTCCCCTTTTATCTTCTTTGTGCCACCACATTCTCACATTACTCAGTCCTGTATGCAGCGCTAAAAACTTATGAATGTCTACTCCCAGACTGCACTAGCCAAAGTGAAGTCTGAAAGACATGAAGTGCAATACATTTAAACACTGGCACATTGCTTTACAAGAAGTACTCAGTAAACTCTTGTTTCCTCGTTACCCTTAAGTTTCAGCTTGCTGGTTACGCGGTGAAGGTGGTAAGAGAAGGAAGACCTTGTCAAGAGACCAGATGCCCAAGACTGTCAAAAAAAAAAATCCAGCTCCTAGAGGTATTGAGCCTAGAGGTCCTGGATGTTTGCTGGCAGTCATTAGTATTGATTCAAAAATTGTTTGATTTCCCTCCGGGCACGTGGGTAGGATTGCATTTCTCTGCTCCCTTAAAGCTAGGCATGGCCATGTGATGCTTTGGCCAAGAAAAATGTGATTAGTTTTTAAGAGCAATTCACATTCCTTTCCCCTTTCATAGATTGGCTCCACTTAAGACACAGTGGAGGCTCCATCAACCTCTGTCACTAAAGATGATAAGGAGCAGAGCTTTTTTAGTCCCGGATAGGATATGTATGAGATAAAAACTTCCGTGGTTTTAAACCATTTAAGGTTTGGGGTACCTGGGTGGCTCAGTCGGTTAAGCATCTGCCGTCGGTTCAGGCCATGATCTCGGGAGTCCTGGGATGGAGTCCTGCGTCGGGCTCCCTGCTCAGCAGGGTCAGCTTCTCCTTCTCCCTCTGCTCCTCCCCCCGGTCGTGCTCTCCCTCTCAAATAAATAAATGAAAACTTTAAAAAGAAACCATTTAAGGTTTTAGGACTGTTCATTATAGCCTATTCTGACTGATAAAAGGCAAAATGAGGTTCTGAGCCATAGAAAGACCAGTTGGGATGGTTCCATGCTTTGTTTTTTAGCTGAGCTTTGTTTCCTGTGTATTGATCTCATCCATTAGAGAAGTCCATGAAGGCCCGTATCTATGCCACACTCACCACTACATTTTAGGAACTCAAATGTCTGTTGGTCAAATGAATAAAATACCTAACAGGAAGGCCCTGATCAATTATAAATTTAGTTTCTTATGAGGCTTCCGGATCTACAGCACACCACAGAACCCTGATGCACAACAAACTACCCCCAAAGTTAGTGTTTTAAAAGTTTTTTATCCCTATTCTGAATTCAGCTGGATAGTTCTGCTCCATGTTGCATCTGCTGAGGCTGAAATGTCTAAGATAGCTTCTTCCCCCGCCGCCCCCCGCCCCAATGTCTGGTGCTCTGTTGGCATGACTGGAATAGCTGAGGTTTGGCCAGACACCTCTTTCTCTCCACCTCATGTCTCCAAGTCACCCAACCTTTTTACGTAGTGGCTCAGTGTTCCAAGAGCAAATGTTTCAAGAGGACAAGCCCCAGTGTGCAAGTACTCAATCTAGCCTCTGCTTGATAATGTCTCAGGGACCAGGTCTCATTGGCCCAGAGTCAGTGTGGAAGGGGACAAGGAGAACAAATACCAGGGTGGTTCACTGGAAGCCACCAGTGTTAAGTACCCACCCAAACTTGTGATCCCAAGGCAGACAGCTGAAGTCACAATGCCTTGTTTTACAAATAAGGATCTGACCCAGAGGTTAAATTATTGGCCCAGGATTACATGTCTAAATGATAAATGGGGAAAAGAGTATGAGTTCATGCTGTAAATCTGTGCATACTGGCAATAAGTCAGAGGTTTGTTGTGGTCTTTTACTATGTCTCATTGCCCTTTACTTATCTTCACACTAGTCCCCTGCTCCCACCACCCCCCAGTCCTTTTTCCTTTCCTGATTCTCGGTAGCCAATTGTGGGCAACTCTGAGTATCTATGCCCAGGAAGATACAGCGCAGATCATCCAAAATGGAATGTGTTTTGTAGCGTTATCTACGTGAATAGTAGCTATTAGGTGAATAATAATATAGCATGCTCCAGAAACTTGTAACATTTTGAAGAAAATAAAGGGGTCTTGTGAGGAAACCACTTTAGAGGACAGACCGTGTGCCAGCCCATAGGAAAGTGACTCTCACTCCTTCTCTCAGCTTGCTGTGGTTTAAGTTCTGTCCGCCCTGAGAAGGAAGGAAATGGTCGAGTTGAAGAAAATTAAGTCACCAGGAACTTGTAAGAAAGATCTGCCACAAGAGTACCCAAATTCACAATATCAAGAAATTGTTTCCAGCATCAATGGAGGCCTGAGGCATTTATTTAAAAATATATATCATTCATTCATATATACATTCATTTTACATTCTTACATCTTAACATTCATCAAAAACTAAAGAGTTTTTAAGAATTTTTCAAAGTCTTGCACTGAGGCTTTGGCAATCTCTTCACAAAATATTTCATCAGGCACAGAAACTAACTTGTCCAAAGAGATGTAGTTAGGTTTTGTTGGATCATATTGTGCTCTTCCTAAATAGGTAAGAAACAAATGCCTTTCTTTGACTTTAAACAACCTTGTATTAAATACCTAAAAAAGAAAAAAAAAGTTTTTAAAAACAACATTGTGCACTGAAAGATGAACAACTAAAATGTTTATTTGGCTAAAAATTTTAATTAGGCTAATAATTATAAAGGATTGACCACATGCTTAGTAACTATGATAAATGCCACAGGGTTTAAACCATATAGCTTCTGCTAAGAAATTATGATTAAAAAGAACAGAACAATTATAAAGTAATTAGGGCTATATTGTAGGCAAAGAACATTGGCTAATCCAGATGGAGGAGATGTTAAAATAGCAAATCCTCAGGCCCTGCCCCCAAAATACTCAATTTTTGTGGAGCCCACAGGCTCTCCAGGTGATTCTTATGTCGGAGTGACTCTGATGACTGCCAAGTTTGAGAACCAAAGTTAGAAATCAAAGGTCCACTGGCAACAAAAAGTTTGTAAGATTTCAAATCTTGTGGAGCTGCCTTATTTTTGTAAAATTCCTGCCTGCTCCCTCTCTCTGACTAGTATTAGAATGAAATGAACCTGGCCTCTAGGGGAGCAACTTCCCCTCTAGGGGAAGCACGTCTTAGCCGTCTTGGGGTTAAAACTCCTAAGGAGTAGCATGAGTGGCAGCAACTTTAAAAAGGAATCAGAAACAGGTCAACCAGAACTGTTATGTGCAAGAGAAAATTCGTTTCATACCACTAAGTTTTTAAAGCACCAGCCAAAAATTTAAAGCCTATCAGTTCCCCCACAGTCCTGTCAGTTAATGGAGTTTTCCTTTTTTTTAAAAAAAAAAAACAATATTAGCCAGACCCCTATGAGTCTGAGAATCCCAAAAAGGAAGTCACAGTTCTATAACTGGGCTTCCCAGAAGCTAGGGTTTGGGGTGCCTAAAAGTCTGTGTTATTTAAACAAGTGATTTTGATGCATCTGGTCAAGTTTATAGTTTCCCCTACTTAGAAAGTTTCTGTCCATCTTTGAGACCCCACGCATTCTACTGACCACTCAAATGTCAGTTCTTAGAGTAGGAGAATATCCTAGTTGAGAGCATGGATTTTTAAACCCGACTGCCAGAGTTCTAATCTTGTCTCTGTTCCTTGTTACCTGGGTAACCACCTTTGGACAATCCTTTCATGCTTACTTTCTTCACTTGTAAAATCGGGATAATAATAGTACCTATCTCATATGATGGTTGTGAGGATTAAATGAATTAATACAAGTAAAGCAGTAAAGACAGAGCTGACACACGGTGAGCACTTAGTAGCTATCATTGTTTCTATGATTTTCCTACTTCTTCTAAATTAAATTAGTAAGTTCTATA